ACGCCACATGCACTTCAGTCGCCCAAATGCCCTCTCCACACACCCCCGCGCCACCTTCTGCCGCGTGTCGAAGCGCTCCTCGTCAGGATCTTGGTCGATTCCTCCGTACGGCTGCACGATCCATGGACAGGCAACTGGATAACCGTTGTCGCATAGCAGGTAACCTCGCGTGACGACACCGTGCGGCAGATTCTCCGGAGATGCGTTGAACAACTCGCCAGCTTCTGCACGCCTCCACAACTGGGAATTGTACATGACACGAACATCGTGCACACTTCCCGGGTATCCGATGTGGACGTCGAGGATCCGCAGATCCAAATCCACCACCACCTGCGCCTGCACAGAGGACTTCTGTTTGCGGTCGTAGTAGTTGTCCAAAGGTGCGCCGGCGGGCTTGTCAATGTAGATGTGTGTACAGTCAATCGCGCGGAAGCAGTTCGGGAATTTCAAACCCTTGTCACGGAATGCGCGCGGAATCTGCGCACGTCTACGGCCAACTGGCCACTTGATCGCGTCGGGGTACGCCTGCAGCAGCGCCGAAGTGACGTCGCGGACGGCCTGCAGTCCTTTTGCCCTGCCGATGCCGAAGGCTGATGTGCCGCTCTCGTACGGCTCTCCTGACGCCCACTTGTACAACGCGAAAGCGATGACCTGCTCCACTGACAATGGCATCCTATAGTGGGTCACCTTCTTCTCCACGTACATGGCGCACGCGGCTACAATCTGCCTTAACATGGCCATCGACATGCGCAACTTCTGCCGGTAGTACTCGTCCGTCGCGTCATCACAGAGGCGGAGATCCTCCCATGTTCCGCCAGTCCGTCGTTTAATCCACCAACGCGGGGTCTGCCGCAGGAAAACGCCAGATGACAGCGCGGCACACAGCTGGACGACTGCCTCACACGTGGCCACGCAATCCGGCGCTTCGGCAATGCGCTGCAACAGCGCTCTTCGTTTACGGAGCTGCGTCAGCATGTCGCTTGAGGACGACGACATGTCGCCCATCGTGTTCACGACGACGGCAGTAACCGCCATCGCCACCGCGTCGATCTCCTCTTCGCGCAGACCGTGCCCGCTGCCGCGAACGTCCATCTCTGGGAATCGTTCTGCCCCCACAACGTGACGCCTGCCACAACCGCCGAAGACACGCCCGCTGCTCAACCCTGCCGCAGGAGACCACGCACGCCGGACCCGTAGATGCGCCCGCTGTCGTACGCTGCAACAGGAGATGGCGTACGCCGGAGTCGACGACGCGCCCGCTGCTCTACGCTTCCACAGGACAGCACACACGACGGAGGTGAAGATGCGCCTTGCCGGAAGATGCCCCCGCTGGTCACAACTTGCGTGGAGTCGGAAGATGGATACCCGCGCCGAATGGTTCACCAACGCTGTCTTTTGTACGTCACACGCGTTGCCTGGCCGTCCTCCGCCCCGCAGCCCTGCGTCCGCAAGAATTCGAATTTGAATTTTTGAAGTTCGGGGTGACCGCGCTTTTCACCCACCCCTCCTCACCACGGACACCAGCCAGGACCCGATGGACATCGGCGACGCGGCTGCGTGTACGAATATGAGAACGGGCCGCGGGAGACCTTTTAGGACGAATCCTAAAAGATGATTTTTAGGACTGCGTGTAACGACGCCGCACAAAATCCTAAAAAACCTTTAGGACTCGTCCTAAATATTTTAGGATTCTTTTAGGAGTGTCTAACGAGACCCAAAGTCTCCACAAGACAGAGGGCGTAGCTGGCAGACACAGAAGACCTAGGTAACTCATGGATTATCACCCGTCCTGCCAGCGAAGCTCCATTACCACGCGTATCGCAGGGTCACACCGAATGGCAGACCCTATAGCCCAACCTACCACCTGCGACTCGAGGCAGATAACCCTCTATTCCGCAAGCTCTCCGTACAAGGACGCTCACCGTCCGCTGCCAGGACGATGCCTTCACAGAGTAGCCCTCCCCTGGAGCTAGTGCCTGCCTTCACCCCCATCCGAACATACTGCCGCGGCCGGCCCAGTTATGCCAACCGCAAGCTCTGCCACCCGCACAATGGTATAGCCCAACCCACCACCTGCGATTCAGGGCAGATCACCCTCTATTCTGCAAGCTCTCCGTACAAGGACACTCACCATCCGCCGCCAGGATGATGCCTTCACAGAGTAGCCCTCCCCTGGAGCTAGTGCCTGCCTTCACCACCATCCGAACATACTGCCGCCACCGGCCCCGTTACGCCAACCGCAAGCTCTGCCACCCGCATGGCGACGCCAAGCTCCAATCCGACCCCATAGCCCAACCCACCACCTGCTCTTCAAGGTAGAACTCAAACCCGTTCTTCAAGGATGTCTAGTAAGCGCCTAGATCCTGCTCTTTGCCTGTCCCCACATGCGCCGTGCGTGCCGTCTCTAAGGGCAGAAGGAATTCCTGACACATGTCAGCATATGTGTTAGCCGGGACCAGCCATAGCCAGGAGAGTAGCCCGCCCCTGGAGCCAGTACCTTCCTTTTGCCCCCATGCAAACATAGCGCCGCTGCCGCCCCAGCTACACCAACAGCAAGCTCTGGCAGGCACGACTGGTGTGCTACTGGCCCTGCTGCGCGGTCCCCCAATGAGTGCCGTTGTGACAGCCTGACTGCCTCTGTGGACTTGGCACACTTCTTCCCCTATGGGATCATTTTGGCCAAGAAGTGGCAGCGGGGACTTTGATCTACCTGTCGCTTTTTCTTTGGATATTTTGGTGCCTTCTTCAGAGGGCAAAAAATAGCTGATGTAGTTGCACTTTTAATTCTTCAAACTGCATGTGGCCCCTTCATCCCTCGAGACTCGAGAGATTCTAAATTTGCAGGAATTTGTCATGCCAGGGTCAGGCGGTGACGTCTACTCAGCCTTGCTGTCTGTCCCCATTATTCGGTCCAAGTCGCCCTCCACGTGGGTAGGATGATTGTCCCGAGTGCTTCACACTGAGGTGGGATAGGGGGTACGCTGGGAGAATTTGTGAGAAGGATGATGGGTTGGGAGGTAGCCTCCTCATTGTCAGGTCACCCAATGCTCGACTGATACTGCCACCGCTTGTCTAGCATCTGGTGTCTACAACACCCTGGGCTTAAAAAAAAAAAAAAAAAAAAAAAAAAAAAAAAAAAAAAAGCCATCGCCTGGGTCTATCAGTGCCCGGTGCAATGTTTGTTTTTTAAGCCCAGGGTGTTTGATCCATCCTTTTGCTGTCAGGCCGCCCAATGGTCGACTTATACTGCCACCGCTTGTCTAGCATCCGGTCTCTACAACACCCTGGTCTAAAAGAGGCTTGGAGGTTATGGTGGTTTAAACTGGGAGCTTGACACAGTGCAATGTGGATGTCTCTGGTGTATGCTGAAGCTGGGTTCTTGGTGCAGTGGTGCAGATACAACCAATTAAATTCAGGTATGCCCCGGGAACTGGCCCATCGCATGGTCAGGGCCTTGGTTGATGTTGGGGCAGTGGTGGTGAGTGCCATGAAAGATGTTGTCCACAACAAGATGGCCCTACCTCATTGTTCTCCTCCTTTTTTTTTTTTTTTTTTTCTTTTTTTTTTTAGCGGCAAAAGCCGTTTTTCGCAAGGCTTCCATCTTCGTGGTGGTGAGAGAACCATGGGGATTGAAGCCTTGGCAATTGGGCTGCTCTATCTATTGGTGGGGAGTGGCACCTGCTGGAAACAGGGTCCAGCGTCCCTTGGGTGGTTGTAACATTACAGCACAGAGTATTCACTTTTTTTTTTTTTTTTTTTCCAAAAAAACCAGGGTGTTGTAGAGGGGATTCACTTCTTATCTACGCTACCCGAGTTGCTGGGGACCACTTGCCCAGCCGGTCGGGAAAATAAAAAATAAAGAAAAATGTTTTTATTTTAAATTGGTAAAAAGTTTCAATGCGACCCTGAGGCAAAAGTTGTTCGGTTTATTTTTCTGCATAACATATTATTGTTTTTCAGATTTTTTTAAATACATTTTTTCTTTTTATTTGTTTTGCCGGGTAGTCTGGGCAAATTATTGGTTCTGGGTCTGTCGCTTACCCGTCGGCTATCCCGGAGCTCCCTACCCGTGGGCCTGGTAGTGTAACCCATCTCATCGAGGAGCTCTCTCTTCCACATCGTCATTGGCCCAGCCCTATTCCTGGAACCCCCAAATTATACCGTCTTGTCCTGTGCCTCCCACTTTCACTCTTTTCCTTTAGCCCGACCGAATTCCTGGTATGTGCAGCCCTTCCCTGTGTTTCTTGCACCTCCCATTTGAAGTCCATTCTATTCCTGCAACCCCCAAACTATTCAAGCCTTTCAAGGTATGTGCAGCCTCTTACCCCTCCCACATGCTGTTCCGTGTGGGATCCTGTCCCCTAAGCCCTCCCTAAACCCTCTCCCTTCCTCCTACTGATCTTTGCTAGGCCTCTCTCTAGGTGGTGGTGACAAAACTACAGGGATTGGGGTGTCGGCGGAGGGATGGTAGCATTGTTCATTGTTCTTGCTAGCGAGTATTTTTTACAAGATGCCCATGCTCTCTATGGCATCCACCATTTCCTCTGACACCTCCTGGGGCTGAGTACCACCAGCAGCATTGGGTTTCCTGAACGCCCGAATCTGGCTGTGTTTGTGGAAACGCGCAGAAAATCCCATTGATTTTCCTCAACTGCACCTGTCCTCAAACACGTCCAGGTTCAGGCGTTGAGGGAACTCCATGCTACTAGTGGGACTTGGTATTTGGTACCTTGTCCCTGTTTTCTTTTAATTGGGGGTCCTCTTACGTGTCGTCCCCCTCAACTTAGCTTTCCTTTTTTCCCTATTCTTTTATATGTTTATTTATTTATTTATTTATGATTTATTTGATGTAAAACCCAGGTTGTTGTTGCGATGGGATACTAGGCAGATGAGAGTCACCCACAGTAATCAGCCATTCGGTAGTCCAGATGAACCCCTCTGAAGACCCCACCCACCCTCTCATTTTTTGCCCTGGCGAACTCCCACACCCCCTGTCCTACAGTGTTAACCAGCACCCAGGACCAGCACCCAGGGCCGTACCGTCTGGACTGGATGGTACCCACTGCCACAAAAAGAAAAAACAGAAGAGAAAAGAATGGAGACACTCGTTCCCACCAACCTCCCCCTCCTCTTTGGAAAAAGAGCACATGGCCAAGACGAGGCACGATTCAGCAAGCGGTAATATGTGAGCTGAGCAGGTTGGTGGGCCATTGTGACGCACAACCTCACGCCCAGCGCGACTTCCTGTTCGGAGTGGGATGGGGGCCCAGAAGTGCGAAGAGGGGTGTGCCGCAGATTTTTGGGAATTGAAGTGGAGTCCCAGGTCAGAATTGAGATCTCCGGTGGCAAGCTTAGGGGTAGTTGAGCAAGTTGGCAATCCCAAGTTATATTGGACTTCGGGAGACCGGGCTACCTCCGGTGTGAGCGTCGTCGTCGTGGTCGGTCCCGTATCTGATGGACCCTCGGAACACTGTGTGTGTCGCGCTGGGCGGTCAGCCGCTGGCGCCGCTCGTGGCAGACTTCGGAATCTGCCGTGGCTGGTCTCAGTCGGAGGCTGTGAGATCGCTGGTCCGCCTCAGTCCGGGTTCGGCGAACAATCCCGCAGTGCGGTAATCATGGTCTTGTCGACACTCCGAGCACAAGATCCGTGGCCAGTGAGGGCCGATCGCGCCCCAAGGGACCGCCGTGAGGCAGTGAAAGGGGATTACGAGGCGGTAGGGAGGGTAATTAGTCTCGACGACGGCTATTCTAGGTTCGGCGATGACATGGCGTGTATGCGAGTGGGGAAAGTAGGGAATAAAGGGAATCGCGCTTAAGGCCCGTTCGATGTCCCACTCGCATACGCGCTCCGTCCGAGTGGGGTAAGGGAATTCCGGAAACGGGGCCCGGGGTCATGCAGCCTGATAGGCACACTCCCGTTCCCAATGTTCCCGGAATCGTTGATGCCTCAGACTCTCGCGATCCGTGACGTAAAAGGGGGTCTCAACGTCCATACTGACGGAGAAGGGTCGGTCCCATCATAGGCTTCCACGAGCGGGTCTCGTGTATCCGCGTGTAAGTCGTGTCCTGGCGGTCGCACTTACGCGGGGGCACTCGAGATCGCGCCTGCGGTCGTCAGAACTGTTTCTGATGTCCTCGGTGGTCCTTCAAAAGTCCAACATGCGATCATCTAATCCAAGTAAAAACCCGTGTCGTGCATAGCAGAAGGCAACAGCTCCGCAACCTAGACATCCTTGCTTTCGACAGAGTCATACCCCATTCATTCATATCAACAAGAAATCAAATGGCGATTTCACAACTCTTCCCCGGCGCACAGCGCAACCATTTAGTGACGTGGTTGTCGGATCCTCGTACATACATGCATGCGAAGATGAGGTACAGATTGACACATACATCCCACAACTCTAGACGTTTTACTTCCCAACCATTGACAGGCATTAAAGAGGAGGAGGGAGAGTGGTTCAACACAAAAAAAGAAATACATTGGAGATAAAACGATGACGTTTCGCCCGAGACCAAAATTTTTGTACAAAGGACAGAAAAAGAAAGGTCGCAAATCCCAACCGTCTGTTCCCCACACTCTTTCTCTCTCTCTTTCTCAGATGCGAACAGTCCGTCGCCTCGCATCACTCACCGAGTCGTCACCCCGCTTGGTCCGTGTACGCAAGCCAGGTTCGTCCGTGCGCCATAGTCCGTCGTGGCCCGTACATCAACCACGCATACTTGGCATCAGCTCGTCGGGTCGCCCAACTCCCACATCACTCACCTCTTCGCTTACACGTTAGCCGACCCTCACTTGTCGCGCTAATCCTTGGAGTTTCCTGAAGTTTTTTAGAGAGAGCTTTAATCACACTCGCAATATTTATAGTGTGCATGCATGCGCAACAGATACGGGATTGTGCTTTTGAGAAGGAGGGGAGGAGGAAAGGAAGTGCCTACGTTTTGCATGGTCAGGTCGCGGTGTGGGGGACTTAGCCACTCTCCACTCATCGATCTGGGCATGCAGCGCGTCGGCCTATCAAAAATGAGGGAAGATGCATGCACAGCGGGAAGGAAGAAAGTGGGAAGAAAGATGGGAGAGTCAAGAAGAGAGAGATAAGTTACAACTGCCCCCGCCAAAAGATACAGTTACACGCAAGATTAAGGGCGCAATTTAGTCAGAGCTCCGGTCCCGTCGCAGACAGGCGCGCGCAAGCAAGAAGCAGAGCGCAACAAAATTTTTGAAGTTCCTAAATTCCTATCTAAATCCGAATTGCAAAAAAAAGAAGATTACAAAGAACGAAAAAAAAAGTTCGAAAAACATTTATGAGGAGCCCACTGGGGGCTCGACATCAGTTGAAAGAAAATTTTGGAAACGAAAAACAACGTTCCCGAGTGGTTTTTGCGCCAAAATTCCCGTTCCCCTTCGCCCCAGCAGAACAAGAAAGAAGCTAAGGCAACGGTTATTTCTCGCGCTCGCTAAGGCGCTGTCCCCTACTGCCTAGGGGGGGCCTTGCTTGATGCCGGCCCAACAACATCAAAAAAAAAAGTTGAAAATGAAACGAGAACATCCATGCAACTTGCCCAGCCAACCCATCCCCATGTACCTCGCCTTACTAACCCGTCCCGTTCCCCCAAGGCAGTTTCGCGCAGAAAGTCGCGCGATCACAGAAAATGGTTCGTCACATATGTGACACACAGGGGGTTCCAATCTTGAGCAAGCTCCCGCGTGCTCATTCATCATGCGTCGATCTGTAACGAGGATCGATGCGGAGCTCACACGTGCCACTTACTGTGAGATAAGAGTGTGGAAGTCATTCAAGGTGGTCCTAAATGTTCCCGGGGAAGGGCAATCTGATAATGGGCGGAGGAGGTGGTGGATGGACTTGGGGGAGGGGAGGTATGAAGCGGCGGATCTCTCTCTCGCTGGTGGGGATCCGGGTGTAGTGGATGGTGCTGTGGATGCGAGGGAATCAGGGGTGCTCCCGTTGATGAGAGAAAAACGAGAGATGGTGTAGAGGTTGGAGAGGGTGCGAAGGATGGCAGCGCGGAAGCTCTAGTAATTCTGGCAGGCGGGGATGGTGCCCGAGATGATGCAGTAGACTTCTATATTATTAAATTCCCGCAGTTGGTGCTGAAAAGAAGGACATGGAGAGGGAAGGAGGCGACGAAGGAGCGGGTGGTAGCATGCGTGACGACGGTGACGAGAAGGCGGGTGGCGTACAGTTGGTGGAAGAGAGAGGGCGGGAAAGGGCACCATCCATCAGGGAACGGGGTTCGACCCAGGAGTTGGTGAGGGGTGAGGAAGGCAAGGGGACGGCGGGATAACGACCGGGGACGAAGCTCGATCGCCCGCATCTCGACGAAGGCGAAGAGTGGATTGTGATGGCGGAGAAGACGGAGCCGGTAATTCGCTCCTTCGCCGGCGGCGACTTTCTGATCCCTCTGTCGCGGCTCCATATCCTTCAGACTCCTCGTGTGACGGCTCCGGATTTAGCGATCGATCGCCTAGCAGCAGCTGTAGTTACGGCCTTTCGGGTTCTTCGACTGGCCGCTTGCCCTCCGCTTTCTCTCGCCTTCGCTCAGCTTCGGCCTCTTCCTCCTCTTCGCTTCGCCTGGGACGACCACTCGGCTCTCCCGATCCACTTTCCTCTCTCGTCGCCTCTTCTTCTTCCCCTGACACAATATAATCGGGATCGTCCTGATCAGTGCCCGATTCTTCCTCCTCTGCCTCCTCTTGTTCTTCTTCTTCTTTGTCACTGGTTCCAAGCGTGTTTCCTCGACGGACAAGAGGGTCCCACAACGTGAGATCGGTGACGTCGATTTCAAGATAGAGGCTCGAGGACGGGTAGAGGCAGTTATCCCCGTCCAACTCCATACACGTGGACCACAAAAGATGCGGCGCAAGCGTGCGAGTGAGCACGCCTGTCTCTGGCTTCTCGTCACACCTCGACAGGATGTCGAGGGGTAAGTCGTCCACCAAATGCGCTAAGAACACCAACAACACGTCCGTGATTGCATCGAGGTCGCCTTCTTCCACCTTGCCGAATAATATCCCCAACAATTCCCCCTCCGTGTCCATCCGCCAAGCCGACACGATCAACAGTTCTACTTCGTCGTCCTGGACCTCACCCCCTTCAGCTTCTGGGGCTAGCTCCGCCCAATGAAACACCTTGTCCACCAAACAGAAGCTGAGTTCTACGTAAGCGTCCCACCACCCGTTCCACTTGTCTTCGTCTAAGATTGGCACGTTGAGTTCCCGGGTCCGGAAAGAGAGGGCGAGATCGATAGGGGATTGCCAGAAGGTGGGGAGATCAGTCGGAAGGTTGAAGAGGGAGAGACGATGACGGTTCATTGGGGCCGCTCAAAGGGAAGGAGCTACGAGAGAAGGATCTCCGGTGTGCTGCTGGAGGTACGAAGTCGAAGATCTATGTCGTTTGAGGTCACAACCCTTTCCCTCGGCCGCGGCAGTAATTCGACCCACGTAGCTGTGATCTCCTTGGCCCAACCCCGCAACTGCCGATAGTTGTCCGTATGAATCACCGAGTGTACCGCCGTGATATCACCTGTGAAGGTGACGATGACGGATATGTGGCTAATACCGGGCGAGGACAAGTGCAGAAAAGCCGAAATCTCGGCCAGTACACGCGTCGCTCCTACGTGTACGAAGCGGAACTCTGCTGATGCGTGGACGGCTGTTGTGCTGAAAAAGGCCGCAAATCGAAGAAGATCAGGACTCAAACGAGGTCGCTGCACCTGCCGGATTGTTGCTATACGCCCCCTCGGGGTCATCAGATGCTCGTAGATCACTTGCTCCGTCGAAAAACTCATGGTGATGGAGGCGAAGTTGAAGACGATGGTTGAGAAGGAATGGAGGATTCAAGATCGTCGTCGTATTCCTTTTGACGGAGGGACAATGTGGATGGTGGAGGAGAAGGGGAAGAGGGGAGAGAGCGGAGATAGGACACATGCCGAATGATCGGACTAGTCGATCGCCTTCCCGACACTTCGGGCGCAAGCCGCACCGTGTTCACCCCGCTCAGACCGAGCTCGACCACGTGAAATCGCTCGAAGAATTGTGGCGCTAGCTTGCCCTGGCGAGCACATTTCCTCACCTACACGATGTCCCCTAATTTATATTGGGGCCGAGGCGCAGCGTTCCCATTCCGGGCTTAGTAGCTCCTGACCTGTCTTCCATGGACCATTTCCGTCATTCGCTGTCTTTTTGGGGCTAATCGGGGGAGGACCTTTTCCATCAGTTCTAGGTGGCATTGGGCCTTATCCTTAATCGTCGCCCTGATGGTCCGTCGCGGAAGGGTCGTTTCATCATTTAGGCTCAGTAGAGCTACACGGGGTAGGCTATTGGTCTGTAGCTGAAAAGGGGTCAGACCCATGGATTCGTCGGGTGTCCCCCGGGATTGTGACATGTGGGGAGCAGTATTGCGGATAGAGACACCGTGTAAGACTAGATTCCTCAAGACTTCCCCCCTAAATTCTTCCCCATTGTCCGTTAGGATCTCCTCTGTGTCTTGGTGCATCCTGAGAAAACGGTTGACGTGTCGCGCAATTTCGGCCGCCTGTCGCGTCTTGCATGGATACACCTCGATCCATTTTAAAAAGTGATCCACGAATACCAACAGAATTGAAAATTCACAGCTATTTGGTCCAGGGGCTACAACAATATCGGTGGTATTCATACTAACCCTCTGAAATGGTCGTTCAACTATGGTAGGCACTATCGATCTAGGCGGCTGAATTGGCGCCTTGTCAACGGCGCAGACCTGACAATTTCGGACGATGAACTTAACATCGTCGCGAATGTTGGACCAACACCACTCATTTTTATCAATCGCCGCCTTTGTGATTCGGACGGCGAAATAGGCCGCAGTTTCCTCGTTTGCTGACTTAACCCAGTCATACCTCATGAACAAGTGTGGTACGGACATCCAGATCCCACTACCATTTGTCTGTCGTTGCTCCAATCGTCTCTCGTTCCATCAGTAGTCCCGAACCCTCTCATTAGTCCTTCTACGATTCTCCTTGGTGAATTCTCGGAGGGGGTTCCCGACCACTGAGGCTATCAAAACGACATATGTCCATACCTCCGCCCTTCTAAACCTACGGGTCTTTTCTAAACCTTCCGATGTGGCCTCAAGAAAGCGGGCTTCAGTAGGAATTTTATCGGACCGACACAAAGGACACAACTAAGCCTTGTCGGCATTCCTAAATTGAATGCAGGAGCCATGGGCTCTGGAGATGCATTGTTGGCAATCTACCCACTCGACATATCCTTCCCCACTAGGACGCATAGGGTCCGAGTAGACACGCGAGATTGCTATGCAAAAATAACAAATTTTATCAGGTAGAGAGAAAAAGGACGAAGACGAGAGGGGAGAGAGACATCCTTCAGAATTACTTCCGTCACCCATTGTCACGTGTCACTTCTTAGTACGCGAAAGGATTGCCACTTGTCTGTACTCAAGCCCTTCACTCTGCTTCGGCTCCTTCCACGGTGTGATCTCTTCACCCTTCGGCACCTTGCCTGGCCTGTGCAGACGCGTTAGTCCGTCCGCATTCCCGTGCTTCTCCATCTTACGATGGACGATGTCAAAGTCGTACTCCTGCAATCGTACCGCCAATCGCCCGATCATTCCCGTATAGTTAGTCAGCTTCTTGAGTGCCAGCAACGGTTCGTGATCGGTGACGAGAAGAAACTTTTGGCCATACAGATACGGGTGAAAATGTTGGATGCCCCAAACCACCGCGTAACATTCTCCTTGGGGTGCCGAATCGTTCTTCCGCTCGTCTGGTACTGTTCGGGACGCGTACTCAACGACGTGTTCGCGGCCGTCCTTCCCCTTCTGTGCCAAAATGGTGGAGATTGCTTCAGACTGCCAGTCCGTGATGAGGATGAAAGGCCTCTCAGGGTCCGGGCGAACTAAGATGGGCGCGAAGGCCAGGGCCTCCTTCAAAGTGGAGAAGGTCCATTTACATTCCTCGTCCCAGGTTAGCGATTGGTCCTTGCGCAGAAGATTCGTCAAGTTCCGTGCGATTGCCGCAAAGTCTTTGATAAATCGGCTGTAGTAGGACGCCAACCCCAGAAAGGCTCGAACCTGTGTCAGCGACATGGGCGTGGGCGCGTCTCGAATTGTGTCCACTTTCCGCGAGTTTGGTCGTAAGCCTCCCCGAGTCACCACGTACCCGAGGAACGAGATTTCCAAAAGGAAAAACTCGCTTTTCTTCAGGGCGATTTTTAAGCCCGCGTCGCGCAGCGCTCCAAGTGTCCACTCGATATGCTCTGCATGCCCGTGAAAAGAGTCCGAATATACCAGGATATTGTCCATGTACACGATGATGCAAAAGTTGACCATTCCTTGTATCAGCCGGGTCTTGTTAACGAAGTTTTGAAAAGTCACATTCATCGCTCTTTAGAACATAGCCGGAGCATTGCAAATTCCCATAGGACATCGAACCCATTGCCACGTGCCTTCAAACAATACGAATGTCATTTTTGGACGATCCTCTTCCTCGACCAATATGTGGTGGAACCCATGGTGATGTCAAACTTGCTAAAATAGTTAGCACACCAATCGCATCTAGCAAATCATCAATCCGAGGGAGGGGGTGCACATTTTTTATCGTGATAGAACATATATTTTTACAGTGCCCAGGGACAGTTTGGTTATGGCGTTGGTGGGATAGGATCTGGAACCAGATTGAAACCTCCCTACCATGGTCATGGAATTGGAAAGCTCTCCTCTTGGAAGCCTGGGCCCCATCATGTGAAGACAGCTTCACAGCGAACCTATTCACGATCGGGAGAAGAGCTCTTTTCTGGGCCATATGGTCTCACAGGTGCACATTTGAAATGGAAGATGCCCATCTAGATGGGCCTGAGTTCACAGATTCCATCAAGCAACAAATCCAACTTGAGATTAACTCGAAGCGGGAAACATTAAAAGAAAAACTTAAAGCCTTGACAGCAAAAAAAGAAATCAAACAACACATCAAAACGTTCAATCTAACTGGCTTGGAGGGGAACAAGGTGGTAAAATTGGGCAGGTTAAATGGAAAGGAGTGTGCGAGATAGCTCACGGTGAGTGCCCAAGGAATTACCACTTATATTTTAATGACTGGAGTAACATAGATCCCTCCATTCCCCTCAGCCCCCTTTCTGAGTTTCCTGATCCTTTTCCTCCACCAAAGCTGGCCTTAGTTCCTGGCTCATGGTATGCGTTTGAGTGATTACCTGTGTCCCAGTTTGGGTTTATCTGTGGATCCCAGTCCCAGCTCACGATAAGCAGATGGGGAGTGTTAATATTGATAGGTGTAATGGCATATCTGGCACCCGAATAGGGTGAAGAGGCATAACTATTCCCCAGCATTCCCAGATCTGAAGGGTCGTTGGGCCCACTTTTCAGCTTCAATTCTGGTATCTGTTCACTATTGATGATGTAAAGGGACGCTGGACCCGGTTTCCAGCAGGTGCAGCTCCCCACTAATGGATTGGAGCCATCTATCCATCTAGGGGAGTAGAGGGAGTGTCTGCTCTTATCAGCACGTCCTCTACTCCCCAACATAGATGCTTAAAAAAAAAAAAAAAAAAAAGACGAAGTTGTGAATATTCATGCACACGAAAGAACACGTCGGATCCCGCCTATTCCGAAATTCCTAACCGTCGACCCAAATTCCTAGCGCACTCTCTGAGGCGCGCGTAATTCCAAAGTAATTCCCAATTTGCAAGGACAAATTTTCAAAAATTGATCCGAGGGCCTTGCATATTACATTCATACAAAAAAAAGAGGCCTCGTTGGATGATCATCCAAAGTTTGACTAAAGGACAAAGAAACAAGAGAGGGGGGGTAGATAGTGCAGGTTCGGAAGTTGGCGCGTCACAATCACCCATCACCAACTCGGCCAGGTAACCTGACCAGCCGGCGGTTGTAGGCACCTGGGCTGAGCGGGGGAACCCCTACTTCCACACTCAGCCCTGGTTAAAGTGGACACAGTGCAAGCCCTGTTGCACGGGTACCTCAGGAGGTAGGTGTAAATGTGCGACTCCAGGCCTTTCCTGAGGAGGCTCAGACTCCCATGTGTGTCCCCCAATCGGCATTGTTGTTATGACCTGAGCTCCCGGGATATGAGTCGAGCTATAGCCTAGATATCACAGGCCATGTCTAATGGCCCCTCCCTAGCCAAGGTCTAACCTCATGACATCCCCTCGAGAATCCCAGGTTCCCTACCTGGTGATCCTGTTATTGTATTTTTTTCTGAACGTCATTTGATTGGACGCCGGTTTGTTGGGATCCTAGCCTCTGTCATCAGTGTCCAATCATCCATTACCTCACCTCAGTCATGAGCTAGATCCCTCTGTTGTTGTTATAGGGTTGTAACCAGCCCTTAGTCTCCGTCATCAGTATGTACCAGGCCACTATCCATTCCATTACTTCGTCATGTCTACTGCAGGTTCCCTAACTAGAGCCTGTCTACTAACACCCCTCTTACTGGGATCCCTAAGATAACCCCTACGGCAGGTTACCACAGATATCCTCCAGCAGAGCCATCCTCGTCAAGGCCCTACCAGGCACCACAAGCTTTCTTGGCCCGGTAGCACCAGGGTAACCAGCACGTGCACGTGCCGTAGACCAGCAAGTACCTTCCGCCCGCGAGAGAAAAATTGCCCCTCAAAGAGACCCGTACTGAGTGCAACAAATTGCAAAGTGCCATAAGGAATCAACAAATGCACAGAAAGATGCCAATCTTGCAAAAGTGAGAAGTTTGTCAGGTTGAGACTCCAGGACTCCATGAAGTCTTTCCAGTCCCCCCGCTCACCCCCCCTCCCCCTGGGTGACAGAAAGCAAGCCAAAAGAGGAATGACACCACCGCACCCAATAGGTGTAGCGCATTTAATAAGATACTGAGAGTGCATACAGGAGTTTGCGGGTTCAAGTCCTCCTGGACTCACGTGCAGCTCAGTGTCTCCCTCTCTCTCTCTCTCTCTCTCTCTCTCTCTCATGTGCGCACGCATCCGCGTGTATACCATCGGTTTGTCAGTCAATCCGTCTGTCGGGATTCCAGGCTCGATTTGATTCAGTATAAAGGCGGAAGAAATTCTGTTTTCAAGTATTTTGGGCTCGTGGAGCATTTCCACGATATCCTTATGATCTGTCTGTCGGTTCATCCACTCGTCCGTATGTTTGGTCGACCAGCCAGCCTACCTGCCTGTACGTCTGTCTTCTTCCCTCCCTGCCTACCTGCCTGTCTCAGGCCGCGTGCAGCTCAGTGATTGGCGCCTCTGGCAGCACATTCGTGTATGTGGTTGGCAACTGGACACGCGAAACAGTAATGGTGATCTGACGCGCGGACCCCACTGCATGGCAGTTGCTTGGCTGCTGGAAACTGTCTGGACACTCCAGTTCTACCCAACTTGGCAACGGCCAAGGAAAAATGGGACCCCACAGCTACATTCCTCTTTTTGCCTGTGCATAGCTGTACGTTACCCAATCAGGAAGACTTGACCTAAATGGCAAGTCAACCTCTGCTTGTCCCGCTCCTCAGCCAACCCTAGGGTCTCCTTCATGGGATGGCTGAAACAAGAGGGTGGCCGCGCCCCGGACCCTCCGGAGAAGGCCTTTGGAAAAGCCATCAGCGACGGGAACGGGGTCGCGGGCAGAGTAGAAGAAAAAACGAAAAAAGTATTCCATTCTCCAAGGATTTCCACCACCAGTGGAATTTCAAAACCTTCCAAAAGCTTGGCCACCTTCTGTGGGGTCCACACCCGATTCCCTCAATCACACGCCCCCACCTGGCCTGCATGTCAGCGAACAGAGTCCAAGAGTGGGCAGCAACATCATGCAGACCGCAATGTGACAGGCATCGGCTGCGAGCGCACTTGGCAGTGATAGTTCCCTCTGCGATGGTTTTAGTGCTCAAAGCAGACAACAGCCCTCCCCCAAATACAACGCACCCTCATCATGAATGTGTAAAAGCTATTTTCCCAGCCCAAGACAGTCATGATCGCTGTGCCTTGTGTTAGGAGAAACACTATCCACTGCCAGCATAGCAGTCGCTCTAGCACCGAAAGAGCAGAAAGGCATGCTGGCACAGCCACAGGCATCACTCCTGAAACAACCATCAGTTGCTCCTACCCATGCTATAGCACCCAGTTCTTTTTATTTCCCTTCTTCCCCTTACTCTCATCCGGGTTCATGCTGCCTTGCGGAACCAATTTCCCTGCTGGGCCCACATCTGGGCCCAGGTCAGCGCGAAATTTGATTCCCTCTTCCAGGTTGGTTGCGCCCACCTTTCTTCTTTCTTCGTTTTTGTCTTTTAAGAAAATATATCCCTTCAACTCTTTGTTTTTCCCAAAAAACTACCCTATATTCTTCTCTCATTATATCTCCCACTACCTACCTATCTACCTATTTCTAGTCCAGTCTTGCTTTTCTTGCCTAAGCTGGTCCTGTCCCCCTTTTTTTTGGGTTGATCCTCACTCTGCTCTGTGCAGGGAGCAGTACCCCAGCCGCTAACCCCTGGCACGGGACGGAAGGCCTCCGGACACCTACCACCACCAGCCAGGGGGGCAAGTAGTCTATCCCCGCTGGTGAGCCCGAAGTGCGCCACAGGGGGCTGTGTGTTGCGCACACCTTTCGGTTTTAGCTCATGCTCCTTTCTGTTTTCCCTCAGGGCGGTGCAAAATTTTCTTCACCTTTCGGGTTGGTTGCGTGCACCTTTCTGTTTTTGCTCACGCTGCTTTCTGTTTTCTCCGTTTTCTTGACTGGATTCGTTGCGCACACCTCTGTTTCGGCAATTGGTCACAGGCGTGTTTTGTCTGTTTTCTGCCTCCATTCCTTTCTTTTTCCTTTGTTTTTTTCCTTCTTTTTTAAGCCCAGGGTGTTGTAGAGGCCAAGGACTAGACCCACGGTGGTCGCTGGCAGCGGCAGCCAATGGTTGTCCTGACAGGATAGACCACCTTCCCTACCCTTCACCACATCAATTCTCCCAGCGCACCCCCTATCCCTACTATCTCACCTCAGTGTGACCAGCACTCAGAACCATCAACCTACCAGTATCGAGGGCAACTTGGACCAGACAGCACCGACAAACACCAAGGCTGGGCAACCCCCCAGCTCTAGTGGAAGCGGAAGCGGACGAACCTTGCTTTGCGGGAAATTTGGATGCAAGGCTGATGCAATCTTTTTCTACAGGCCCAATATCAGAGAGTCTACCCAGCAGGAGCACCTAGCCAAGGCAAGCTGGCGCCCATGGACACATCCTGCCGTCCTTCCCCTAACTGACCCAAGGCTAGGCGGAACTCAGACTAGCCCTAGAGCCGAAGCCATGCATGAGCAGACTCCGTCATGTACCTTATAACCCCCCCTAGCCCGGTATTATAGAGAGGCTATGTACATATGAGCCCGTAGGCTGT